CTAGCTCCATAAATCTTTATTCTAGTAGATGTATGATTGAGCATTTATTAATGTATATGTAGTGACACCTTATGTTAGCTTCCAAAAGAATTTTGGCGTTTGGNAATGTATATGTAGTAACACCTTATGTTAGCTTCCAAAAGAATTTTGGCGTTTGTAGTGTTTTTTAATAAGAGGCCAACTGTTACTTAGCTTTCCTTTGTTATTGCACATGGAATTGTAGATACTTTGTAATAGGATACCATGGAAATGCTGTGCATTCTTAAGTTGCTTCCAAAATCTTTTCAATTCAAATCCAAATTCATAAAGAAGCTTTTGATCCCTTGAGCCTCATCTAATTTTGACTTAAATTCCATGCCTCTATAGCATTTTACAAGTTGGATAGAAGAATATTACAAGTTGGATAACTATAACCAAATGTATTTCATGCTTTAAAAGAAATGAATGAAACTAATTAAGTATGAAAATGAACATGGAACATGACAACCTAACTAAATTTCTTCTATACAACCAACAGGCTCATGGAACACATTGTACAGCCTCCAAAAGAACCAACAAAAGCTATTTTTCCTAAGAATTAAAAGATCTTCTCTGGCTTCTTTTCTTATGTACATTCCTATGGAATCTGAGCAATCTCAACCAAAATTTTATGCAGCGACTGTGGCTTGGAAAAGAATGGACAATGGTCACTGCCTTTGATCTTGAAGACACCTTCAGGAGTGTTTTCCTTACAAGCTTTTCTTGGACATCGGGTGAAAGAGCACGATCATCCAATGTCTGGACATAAAATCTACGACTTGTTCCATATTTTTCTGGGGTCAACGATAGCTTCTCCATTATTGGACCAAGAAGAATTGGCCTCATCGAAACAATCGCCAGAGCAACATCCTACAGAAAATGACAGCACCATAAACGTCCGGAGAAACATCAAATAATATGATATGGTGCTTGAAACCAGCGCAAATNTCCGGAGAAACATCAAATACTTTCCAGGTCTTTCTTCATAATAATTTAGTTTCCAAAATACGTGTTATTTGACTGGGAAGATTAAGTGAGCAATCAGACAGAAGGCTATGTCCCGCTTCTCTATAGTTTTATCACAAGGGACCAGAATTGAAAAGTTCAGTTATCTACGCATATCTTCAGTAGACACAAAGCTATTTCCTCCCTCTTTTTTTACGCTTTACTATATACACTATTAGGTGCTTTTTTAGTATCCCTTCTATGATATTGTGCTTGAAACCAGCGCAAAAATAAAATCTCACCCATACTCTCAGATAAGTTGCTTTGGACGTAGCTATATACTTTTTTGGAAATATTACTTCCTATTGGTTAGTTGATGCATCTGCATTTATCTGCAACCTTTTAAGTACTAATAGCATAGCTTAATACACTAGAAAGCACATGCATTTGCTTATTCTGGGATTAAACAACTTTAACCTTTTCAATTATAGAGGGTAAAAATAGCTATCATGTTTATTTCCGTCACATTGTTTTTGGAATTTTTTTAAAGTCAAAAACATGTTCAATCCTTATTAATTCCAATCAGGGGCGGCTCTAAAGGCTTGGCTAGTGAGGCCATTGCCTTAAGCCCCGAAAATTTGAAGGCCCCAAATTTACCTTAAACTCTTATTGTTACTATTACTACTCTATACTACTTAATTTATATAAATAATTATTATAAAGAAAAGTGTTACAATATAAGCGCCTAGCAGCATAACTGTTGCTACGAATAGTAATTATCAATACACTAGTTGTGCTTGGTAAATAGCTACTAAACTATGGTGTTTCTGAAAGTCTCCATATCTTAACGGCTAAGAAAATAGTGCCGGGCTTTAGCAGGGGCGGCTCTAAGGCTTTGGGCAGTGAGACCATTGCCTTAGACCTCCAAAATTTGAAGGCCTCAAATTTATTTTAAATTTTTATTATTATTTTTACTATATACTATATAATTTATATAAATAATTAGTATAAAGAAAAGTGCTACAATATATTTTTTTGTTACTTGATTGAGGTTATTTTATACCAATAAATTTATAAATTATAATAATTGTTTCCCTCGTTAATTAGTATATTTGCTTCACTTTTCAATTTTAATTTTTTTCTTTTTATATAGTAATTAAGTTATATATATCGACAACATAATGAATTTCTTTTACAATCTTCTCTGAAACTGCATGAACACAAAAGTATTCATGCACCACTTTTCTTTTAGTGTAGTTCAACATATTATATTAGGTTATTTATAATTTATTTTAGATATTCACCAATACGTGCTACTAATTAATAGAATGAACTACAATTATCGTTTAAATCGATTGGAAGGAGTAAATATTTTTGACACCGTCAATGCTCAAAACTTAAGCTATTATGTTATGTACGTTTATTTCTTTTTCTTGATTGTGATGATAGCCAAATCAAAATTTTCACTTTGAATTCTAGACCTCAACATCCGATAATCCACCACTTTATTCTTTGTGCTCTTCTTCCTAGTTTTATTTAAAAAAATAAATTCATTATTTTTTGTCTTAAATAATTAATTTGTTATTTAAAAAGCAAATTTTGTTGTTAGTGTAAAAGTTTTATAGAATGTATTTAAGGGCCTCTCAATATGGTTTCGCGTTAGGCCACAAGATCCGTTGAGCCGCCCCTAATTCCAATTACAAAAGAAAATTAATTAATTGGATGGAACTCTCCTATTCTGTAACTCATCTACACATGCGGTTACCTATAACCAGAACTATACTTTACTTGCGCATTTGTGAAAGGATTACATCGAACACAGTGTTAATGAGATAATAATACAAAAATCAAAGTAACTTCTTACTAATTTTTAATGGGCCAAGCAAATACTCTAAATGATAATTAACATGTATTAAAAAAGTAATTTAACACATACTATTACTTAAATAATTATACTCTCTCAGTGCCAAACTTAAATTAGGGGGGTTCGTGATTTAATTTGGATTATTTTTTAATAGCAAAAAGAAACTAATCAATTGTATCTATTTACTGAATAATAAACCAAATTAAACCATCATATCGTATTTTTTTGTAATAAAGGATGTTGATTGCAAAGTGTTGATTTGCTATCATCAGGAATGGGTTGTTAGAAATGCAAAATTAAAGCTCGAATTGAGCAACAATGGTTAAGGTTTATACTGAGCTTAGAGAGAATCGGGAGATATTATTTTGGAAGAAGAAATGGTTTTCTCTTATCTGTACAAATGAGACAATGCCCATACTATATATGACCCGGTAGTGACCCAAATTAACTAAGCTACTAACTATCTAAAAATGAAAGCATAAATACAAATTGGGCCAGGCCCAGTTACAAGATACAACCCAACTAACAAGACTAGCCCACATCAGCATTACACTCAGTTATCCGAACACCCCTCTTCAAGTTGGAGTGTGATAAGACACCCCAACTTGGACAAATGTGAATGATGGGTAGCACCAGGCAGACTTTTGGTGAATACATCAGCCATTTGAGTGGAACTGGAAGTATAGAGCTGGGTAACCAAACCATCAGCCAGCTTGGTGCGAACAAAGTGACAATCCAGCTCAATATGCTTGGTCCTTTCATGGAACACATGGTTCTTAGTAATGTGAATTGTAGTCTGGTTATCACAATAAATAGGAATAGAAGAGAGATCAGTAATGCCAAAGTCAACCAAAAGTCTAGCTAACCATGTAACCTCTGCCACAACCTTGCTCAAAGACCTATATTCAGCTTCAGCTGAAGAAAGAGAGATAACCGCCTGCTTCTTAGATTTCCAGCAAACCAAACTGCCACCTAACAGGATGCAGAAACTAGTCACTGATCTTCTGCTATCAGGACAAGGTCCCCAATCACTATCACAATAAACCTGGACAGAAAAATATGAGGAGTTATTAAGAAAAATCTCAGGATCAGAAGTACCATTCAGATACCTCAGGAGGTGGAGGGCAGATTTCGTATGAGGAACACAAGGTTTCTGCATAAATTGGCTAAGGTGTTGCACAGCAAATGAGAGGTCTGGCCTGGTGAGAGTGAGAAAATTCAACTTCCGTATGAGATTTCTGTAGACTTCAGGATTGGGCAAAGGCTCACCAACAGAGGCCTTTAGTTTCTCATTCAATTCAAGAGGGCAGACAACAGGGGTACAAACATCACAATGAAACTCCTTTAGCAAATCATTGATAAATTTCTTCTGATGAAGGAAAACCCCGAATGGAGTGTACAACATCTCAATCCCAAGAAAATAATTAAGCAGCCCCAAATCCTTGATTTTAAATCGGTCATGTAGAAAGTACTTTAAAGCAGTAATCTCATACAAATCAGTCCCAGTTAAGACAATGTCATCCACATACACAACTATAATAACCAAAGAATCACCTGAACCCCTAGTAAACAGAGAATAGTCATTGAAAGAATGGTGGTACCCTCTTGACTGTAATGCTTGCAATAGTTTGGCATACTATTGCCTGGATGCTTGCCTCAAACCATAAAGAGACTTCTGCAATTTGCACACTAAAGGGGCAGAAGAAGGTGGGGAAGAAACAGACAAACCAGGAGGAAGCCTCATATATACTTTCTCAACCACGTCACCATACAAGAAAGCATTATTAACATCCAATTGAAATAGGGGCCATCCAGTCTTGACTTCCACAGCAACAAGAGTTTTGACAGTAGACATTTTTACAACTGGGGAAAAAGTTTCATGAAAATCAATACCTTCAACTTGAGTATCATCCCGAACCACTAGCCTAGCCTTATACCTTTCAATGCTACCATCAGCTTTATATTTAACTTTGTAGACCCATTTGCAGCCTATAGGCTTCTTTCCAAGAGGCAGAGGGACAACCTCTTATGTGTTGTTAGCCTCCAAAGCCTCAAATTCAGCTCTCATGGCAGCCTGCCATTCTGGAACAACTGCTTCCTGAGAATAAGATGAAGGCTCAAGAACATTCAACTGACTAGAAATAGGAGGTGGAGGATCAGAGGTGGATTCAACTAAGGAGGAGCTACAGACATAACTTTGAAGATAGGTAGGTTATTTCTGTTCCCTAGTGGACCTTCTCAAATGAGGAAAAGCAGGAGAAGGAGATGATGAAACAGGAGAATGAGATGAGGAAGATTGAGGTGCAGAAGAGGAGGAAGAAGGAGTGGAAACAGAAGGAACAAAAAAAGTGGAAGCAAGAGAGATAGAAGGAAAATAAGAAGGAATAGGGCTTACACCCAAGGACGGAGCATGAACAGGGTGAGAGGCAGGAAACAAGTCATCAAAACAAGCAGAGAAAGGGAAAGGACACATACTAGAAGAGACAGAAGAGGTTTTGAGAAAAGGGAAAATGTGTTCATGAAATACAATATCCCTGGAAATAAAACAGGAATGAGACTCCAAATTGTACAACTTGTAGCCTTTCTTGGCAAAAGGGTACTCACAAACACACATGGTACAGCCCTGGGTTAGAATTTATCTCTATGAAGCTTAGGCACAGTAGAATAACAGAGACAACCAAAGGCTCTAAGATGTGAGTAGGAAGGAGGCTTACCATAAAGAAGTTCAAAAGGGCTTTTGTGAGACAAAAGGGGAGAAGGAAACATGTTGATCAAATAGTTGGCTGTCAAGACACAATTACCCCATAATCTAATGGGAAGATGGGACTGAAAAAGTAAAGACCTAGCAGTATCAAGCAAATGTATATGCTTCCTCTCCACCACCCCATTTTGTTGAGGAGTATGAGGGCAAGAGGTTTGATTCACAATTCCCTTAGCAGAGAAATATTGAGAACCAAAAAGACTAGACCTCAATTCCAATGCATTATCGCTTCTTACAGTTTGTACCTTAATGTGAAAATGAGTCTCTACCGTGTCAATAAAGGCTTTCAACATATCAAAAATATTTCTTTTGGACCCTAGGAGATGCGTCCAAATAGCTCTAGTATAATCATCAACTATGGTCAAGAAGTATTTGGATCCAGTGTATGTTGGTGCATGGTAGGGTTCCCAAGTATCGATATGTATTAATTGAAAAGGGGCAGTTGATTGTATTGAACTATCAGGAAATGGTAATCTAGTTTGTTTGGCTAAAGGGCAAATTGGACAATAGAAAGATTGTTTAGAAGATAAATGTGGATTGCATGTAGAAACAGATTTCATTTTGGAAAAAGACAAATTCCCAAGCCTGTAATGCCAAACAACATCCTCTTTATTTACTGTATTTACATGTGCATCAGTGGTTACATTTGTGTGATCAATAGACAAGCTTGCATGACTACTGGTGCACTAGGACATTCAGTAGAGGAATAATTACACGGAATAGAACAAGAAAAAACAGTGGGTAAAGTAGAATGACAACACAAAGGACCAGAATTTGCAGGACGTTGAAACAGCTTGTAAAGTTCATTGTCTGGTCTACCTAGCACCACCAGCTTCTTCAGTGAAGGGCCCTATAGAGTACAACCAGTGTTGGTAAATTGAACTATATCACCAGGCTTTTCAACTAACTTATAAATAGAAATAAGATTTGTTGAAAGCTGGGGACATAAAGAACATTATGAAGGGTAAGATCAGGAGACAAAGTTAATGAACCAATATTGGTAACTCTACTTACCAGCAAAATTAGCAGAAGCCAAAAGGTTTGGAGTAGTAGGAGAAGCAGAGAGGTGAGACTGTTAAAGCAAAGTGATCAACTGAGAGTACTGATCCTTCGTCAACCCATGCAAAGTGTAAAGCTGCTCAGAATCAGCATGCATGGCAGGACCACCAGCATTTCCAATCTCATCAGAGTTAACAGGAGATTAAACTTCAACATGTGTTGTAGTTCTCCTAGGTGCATTACCTTTAGTGAATTTGAAATTTTGAGGAAAATCATGTAGCTTGTAGCACTTTTTAATAGAATGCCCTGGTTTCTTATGGTACATGCAAATGATAGAGGACCACTAAGGACAGACAGTGACCTTGGAGGGGAAAGGCTGCTTGGACACTCCAGCAATAAAAGAAGCTGAGTTTGAAGGAAACTGAGAAATGAAAGATACTGTCCTTTGTTTCTCATCACTTAGTAGAATTCCATAAACTGTACTCATAGATGGAAGGGGTTTTATCATCAAGATATTGCTTCTGACTAGAAGGTAAGTCTCATTGAGCCCCATTAAGAATTGATATACCTTCTGCTCTTCCTAAGCCTTTTTATCTCCCCCACATGTGCATACAGAGAGGTGATTAACAGAAATGGAAGCTATTTCATCTCAAAGTTATTTTATTTTGTTGAAGTAAGAGGCTATGTCCAAAGGACCCTGAGACATATGAGATAACTCCTTCTTAAGTTCAAAAATTCTAGCACCATCAGCCATACCATCTCTCCTCTAACTCATGCCAAATGTCTTTGGCCAGTTCTGAATACTCAACACTGCGGGAAATCTCCTTGGTGAGAGAATTGGTCAACCAAGATATAACTAAATCATTACAACGTTGCCATTGCCTGACTACAGGGGAACCAACATATGGGTTTTTAGTAGTGCCATTTATAAAGTTCAATTTATTGCGCATAGATAGGGCGATCAGAATATTTCGATGCCAACTTCCATAGCTAGTTCCATCGAAAGGAGTGTAGACTAGAGAGGCTCCTAAGACATCGGACGGATGTACATAAAGAGGATGGCACGGGTGAGTATAGTCATCAGGATGGAAAGCAGTAGGACGAGAGGAAGAAGAGTTTCCTTTGTCATCAACAAGAGTAACATCGGAAGGAGAAGTAATGTTACCAATCGTCATAGCATATGAAAATCCCATACAATACCAAATAGAACGACAACAGTTTAAGGATAACAGACAACCAATTGGCTTTACAACTCACAAATCTCGAGCAATAAGCAGAGGCAATAAAAAAAATCAGATGATGAGAGAGACGATGTTACCAACACCTTCGTGACCAGAATGAGACGGCCTTGTAGCAGCACTAGAAGAACCTTAATCTTCAAAATAATCTCCAATAAGAAACCCTAACATACCAGATGAACTCAGCCGGATGAAAATTGACGAACCAAAACCCTAGTTATCAGAACAACTCCAATCAATGCAGAGATTCTCATAATTGATGAAGACTAAAAAAAATGAATCTTCAGTACAATCCAGGTACCTTCAGACCTCAAATCGAGAGACGGAAGAACGATATTGAAACAACACAAAAAACAAATGATCTCAAATGCCAAAAATGAGAAAACGCGAGTAAAACACTACGAGTTTAGCATCGGAAGGGAGCCAAGAACCAGATCTAATGCTTTCC